AACAAACTTGTGGAATGCCATGAGGTTTGAAGGAGCGTCAACTTCATGGATTCTAGCCTTCTTTTCCTAGTTGACAACTATCACATAGGGTAAGGTCTAGGAAAACGACAAACAACCACATCACTTCAATCACAGAGACGCGAACCTCACATATCTTTAAGAATATTAAAATTTTCTACAACTGCATTTTGTCTTTTCCAAACTCGTTATATTTTATTTTTGCTTTTAGTAGGACTTTAGAAAAAAATTTCTTATTTGTGATTACGCTAAATTAGGTTTAAAAGTGCAGTAAACTAGAAATTCACTCTCCAGAATAATTCTTAAGACTTTTCTCATGAGATCGATATGCTACACTCTTTAGTCGCATTATTACTTGACACTATATTTACTTGATTCGGGCCGACTTGCTTCAGTAAAAATTTTTGATACTTCAATTGTATAGGTGATTAATAACATAGGCAGTCAGGGAACAAGGAAGCACAAATGGTGTGTTAAGGGGCTGAACGGATTCCCTGACATCCAAATCTAGACAATACGATGCCCAGATGCCAGACATGGGATCCCAGGCACTTGAATCAAGAAAACCCGACGACCAGGTGCACAAATCTAGATAACTTGACTCCTAAGTGCCAACGATGGGTGCTTAGATGCCCCAATCCAGAGGACCCGACGTCTAGGCGCCAGTCATGGGCGTGTAGGTGCTCATAAGTGCAGGATTAGGATTTGGACATCTCATTTTGTGTCTTTTCATGAGTGTAAGCTTCAAAGGTGTAATACAAAAATTGAAGGGTTTCTCCAGTATATCTGTGAAGTAAGAAAAAAAAAGCTGTGAGAGTGAGAGGAGAGTTTCGTGAGGGTTTGAGTGAGAAATTCTCTTTAATTGTTATTCTATCGACGCTTTTGAGAAGGAAGTGTGGTGGTAGAATTGTTGCACTATATCAAGGTGTCACTTTCCTAAACTTTTGTATTTGCTTTACTTTCATGAATGAAATATAATCTTTGTTGTTTCAATCCATGGGTACCATCTAGATCTAATTTTCTTGCTTGATTTGGTAGTCCAGGGAGCTCAATTTTCTCTTTATTATGTGCTTAAATTAAACATTACTTTAGGTGATATTTTAACTTTCTACATCTAATCTACTCTCAACTTATTCAATTGATTTTTTAAAATATGTTGTGATTCAATACTCGAAAATAGACAGTTGGAACAATTAGGTAAAAACACATTTATAAGAATATAGATATTGCTTATAGATAAGTGCAATAACAAAGGGAAATTCAAAATCCTTGGTAAATCATTTAGGGAACTAAACTAATCTTTTCCATACCTCCTTAGACCACTGAAAGAGGCTAAATAGAAAAGTTGTTCTCGATTCACATTTATCCTGATCACTTAGTTAAACCTTGATTGCTAAGATCCATATCGACAAGTTTATTAGTTAAATTTTTAATATGAAAGACTTATATTCTTGTAAAAGAGTTACATAACCTCCAAATTTGTAAGATACTACTATTGTTGGAGGAGATAAAAATTATCTGTAGGTATTTATCCAGCCTGCATTCTTTGAAGTGGAGAACATCATTACAGGATGTGGCACTTTTCGATGGAGATACTACTTAGAAGTTCTTGATTTGGTGGAAAAACAAGCCATCAATTGAGGATGTTTGACAAACTTGACATGGATTTTATCAGCACCAAATCTATTAGAAGACCACATTGATCCTAACACTTTGGAGAAAGTACTTTGTGATCCGGTGAAAATGAAGTGGCACATCATGATAGCTAAAAAATTTAGCCTATAGGCACAAGAGATGGGACAACAACTCAAGGGCTCAATCCTAGAAAGCTACCACATCTAAAAGGTCCAATTACAAGAAGCCAAGCAAAAGTGAATAGTTGAAGGGTTATTAGAAGATAACTTCTTATGTAGAAGCATTTTCTAAATAGTTATGTGTTGTTTTTATGTGGGTATTTAATATGTATAAGTTAATGTATTGTACCAGCGGGCTTCTAAGGTTATATTTGCAGTTAAGTGCTGTAATTATTTGTAAGGAGTCAAAATTAATTAATAAAATCAACTAATTAAGTAATCATTTTAATTAATTAATTAATTTTAGGCTTAATGGGCAGTTCATGTTAGTAGAAGGAAATTGGAGTGATGGCTGTATATATTTAAAAATCTTGAATCGAGGAGTTTTTGTTTGTTAGAAATTAAGGAAAGAACTTCATTTGCTATTTGTGACTTGATGGCTGGCCAAACTTAAGAGAGTTCGGCAATTCTCTTAGAACCCTACTTCAGATTAAGAGAGAGTTGCATACATATTAGATTATTAGGAGGGTACATGTAGGTTACACTTAAGCTATACTCCTTGTAATTCTTCCTGTAAACTAAGCATAATTTATCTATACCATCCGAATAACCACGTCTTATGTACACAAACATTTCTCTTCAGGATATCTTCTAATTTATGTCATTTAAATTTTATGCTTTTAAGCTTTTTCTGGAAATTTTTACCGTTAAGTGTTCTTGAAATTTTGTTTTATTAGATAAAATTTAAATCCACTGTTTTCTTACCCAATTTCCTCCACAAATCGCAAGTTCAAGTGTCTACAAAAAAATACTAAAAAAAAAAAAAAAAAAAAAAAAAAAAAAAAAAAGAAACCAAAATCTCCAGATCATTAGCACAAATAATTATGTTTAATATCCTTAAATTTCTTTAATAAAGTTCTTCTATATTTTCTTTACTTTAAACTACCAAAAAGTTTGCAAAAACAAGTTCTCAAGAGTTATTTTGAAATAATCAGTCCTTGAAAAAAAATTCAAAATTAAACATCAAAACTCCAACAAATTTTATGAAAATTTTCATATAAAATGCTTTCTCTACACCTTTTTATTTCATGTGATTTAGGGGTTTGTATAAAAAAGTTTAATTAAAACAAGTTGATGTTATGGTTCTATGACTTCTTATTATCAAAACTCTCTATCTCACACAGACAGAGACAGAGACACACACATAATATACATACCTCATGATGATAGATTCAATGCAAGAAATACAGTCGATGTACTTTGGATCTTAATAAGGATCATATGGATTCTCTACAACTATGTCTAACATATTGTTTTTGCTCACCATGATTCTGTCCTCCACTTCTTGATTTTGAACAGACCTCTTGAGCTATTAATAAATTTATAGTACAGAAGGGAAATAAAACATCAAACACTTGACGCCAACTAATAAAACCAAACACAGGACCCTCCCAACCCTAAAAAGGGGAATTAACTTATTATTAAAGAAAATACAACCAAAAATAAGCAACATATGAATAAATATTATGTCCGAACTCCGAAGTCTAATAAAATCACGCCACGTGGAGTTAACAGAAAAATAAAAAAAAATCGTTTTAGCACAATGAAATATTTCTCCCGTGTTATTTCACGTTATTCAAATGTTATTGTGGTGGTATTCCTGTATTATTGTGTTATGAGAATATTTACGGTGTTATAATAACACTAACACATCAATATCACTACAATAACACCTGAATAATGCGGAATAACACGGGAGGAATATTCCCCTGTGTTACCGAGCCGGATCCCAAAAAATTGAGTTTTTTTTTTTTTTTTCTGTCAGCTCCACATGGAGGTGATTTATTGAACTCTAGATCTACCTGTACGTCCGGACGTGATAGTTTAAAAACTATTGCAAAACCTATCATAGAGTTTACCAAAATTTTTTATTCTCCAAAATAATTCCTTAGAGTTTACCTAAATTTCTACCATTTTAAGCAAATTTAATTCGAACATAAGCTGTTATTAAAATTTTTCCTTTAAGCAACCACAGAAAATAAAGCATCTGTGTTCTGTTTACTTCTGCTGACCTCTGTGACAAAGAAATCATTTTAGGCATGCTTTGCAGTTGTTTAGCACTAAAAAGGACATGTTTTTATTCCATAAAGAATCTTATCTCTAAAACCATCAAAGAAAATGAAATGTTTTAACCGAGAAACGAAAAATCAGAGCAAACGAGCAAAAGAAATGAAGTAATGATTAGTGACAGGCCGATAGTAATATCATCAACCATATATCAATATGATTCTATAAACTATTTGTCCAGAAAATCTTTTGTATAGCGTTCAGTACCTGCATAAAATAACATTTATTTATGTTAGTTTAATAAGTAGGGCAGGGTATGCAACATAAATTACATCAATAGCAAAAAAAAAATTTCAGGTTTAGTAGAACACTCGCTAATGGCAAAATATTACAAGCTAGTTTCTGTAAATCGTGAGCCTATGAATTAGAAGTTGCAACATTGATATACTGCTTGTTTGGGATCAATTTTGCCTTTTGTTTTATAAAAAACATATTTTTATGCGAAGTCTTTTTGCATGTTTTTAACACTAAAAAGAGCTCAACTTTTCATCATTATTACATCAATTAAATGTGGATGCACATACATACAACACAATTCTTACATATTTACGTATCTAACTCATAAACATCAATTTTTACATATATGCCCACCTTACCTATGTATGAAAAAGAATATTTCTCTTCTTAAAAAGTTAAAATAGTGATATTTTTGATTTGATACGAAAGATTTGGGTGCTATTAATGTAAAAAAAAGTAAATGCGTAGTATGTATGTAAATGCCCCTAAATTAATTTTATATTCATGCAATTTCTTAATTACAGCTGTGAGGGAAATATTCTTGCTTCTGGATCTGCTGATAGCACTGTCAAACTATGGGATAGTTTGCAAACAATGCAGAAATCTCCAATGGAAAGAGAACATTACAATCAACATTACAGCAATAATATGTTTTCTCACAGCAACATGAAATCAACATTCAAATTGTATTGAAAAGGGGGAAAATAAACTATTCCTTACCCATAGCTTCCTTATTTTGATGATCAAGTGCAACAACTTATGCATTCAGTTGAATAAAACTGAATAATTTCATTCAGTTGAATAAAAACAATCAAGTACAACAAATTTTATTCATTCAGTTGAATAAAACTGAATCATTTTATCCACCATCTCCCAACTAATCAAAAGGATTCTAAAATTCCTTTAAGAACACTTTGATTGACAAAAATTGCAAACAGCCAAAATAACCTTACAGATTTAATTTTACATTTGCAGGTATCTAAACAGGCACAACACAGCATAGGTTGGCGAATGGGGTTTCCTATCCTATTCCATTCCTTTCTTTCTGAAATATTACATTAAATTTAAAACGTGAAGCTTGAGCTCAAACAAACCTAAAGATTCAATCAAATTGAATCAAACATTTAATGATAGAAAACAAGCGGTGGAACCGTAAATCCAGAATCTTTAAGGAATGGTATCACCTGAGGTCTATCAACCAAATCTTGGTAAAAAGCATATTCTGCCTCGTAGTCGTGCAAATCGAGCTCCGCTTTCTGGTTTGTGTGATAATGATGCTTGGCATCCGCCGATTTCCCAAACCCAAAGACGCTAACTTGATCACAAATCCCCAGAGCGAGCATCACAGCCTGCATCCCCGAGGAGTAGTGGAACATCTTCTCATCATGAAACTTGGCCCAGTCCTCCAATGGCTTTCCAGCCACCTCCGCAAATCTCTTCAGCGAATAATACTTGACAATTCTGGTACACAACATATCAAGCCGGATATCAGTGATCATCAGAGGAGCTCTGTGGGTGGAGTTGCAGATCGCGTAGTCAAGAAAGTGGACGGCCTGGCAAATGTACATGATCATGGGAACGTCCTCGCCGTAGGGATGGCAGAAGCAGCCGGGTCTCCGTGCGCAGAGATGTAGAATGTTGCTGTTCACGAATGAAAGCCCCGTCTTGGAGCCGACTTTGCGCTGGTAGCCATGCGTGCGGGCGTTATTGAGCCTTATCACGAGCTCGTGACCGTCGATGAGTTCCCCTCGGTCGCTGTTGAGAAGGATCCCGCTGTTTCCGACAACAGCGCAGGAGGCGTATCGAGTAGCAAAGTCCGCGTCCGCGCGTCCGCGGTGGCGATCGAGGGGGCGTTTCACAAGTTCAACAAGCTCATTCATGATTTCCGGTTGAAAGCGGCGGTTCTTCCACCAATCACGCAGGGATCGGCGGACCTCTGGGAAGATCTTATAATCCCGAGGGGAACGGACGCGGATCTGTAATCGGCCATCCAACCCGGCGCGAAGCCCCACATCGAGGTGTCTGTTCTCCCGTCGCCAAAGCGCGGCCGGGAGATGGCGCAGCCCCGCGGAGCTGACTCGTGTGGAGGCCGGAAAGTTTCCCTCCAGAAGCTCGTCAACGTCTTTCCTCACACCAGCCTCCACGAGATCCTCGGAGGCCAGACGGAGAAGGATGGTCGCGTTTGAGAGCACCGGTGCGACGGAAGAGGAGTCGGCAGGAGGAGACTGGGAGCCGTAGCCTAGGCGGACGGAGGCGCGGCAGCTGAGGAGGGTGAGGATGGCGAGGAGAGGGAGAAGGCTGAATGGAAGACGGAGCGAGAAGACGCGCTTCATCGATCTCCGACACTATAAGCATGCCCTGCTAGGCATTCCGTCCACCAGCTGAGCAACTAGAAAGGGGAAAAACCTAATTTTGCTGCTGGTGAGCTGGGAAGGAAGAAGAGTACCACGAAAATCAAGCAAATATCTCTTTGATTAGGTTTAAAAAAAAAGAAATTTTTTAATAGAAAACCTGATGCAGATTTTGGGTTCCTCCAAAAATTTTGGGTTTGTAAGGTGGGCGCCGCCGGACGGCGAATGGTAAATAGACACAAGCATGATCAAATCCCAGTCCAGCCAGTGGTGTTGCCGAATTAAAGGATTGTAAGTCTCCCCATTTGGTTTTTAGTTTTTTTAATTTTTAAATTTTTTTTTTTTTTGTAAATTTCTCATAAAAGAATTTCCCCTAGACAGTTATTTCCTTATTTATTAATATTTATTTTTTAAAAAAAATTGAAATTTCCCATAATTCCAATCATCAAAATTAATTTCGTGCTGAGGTGATGCTCCCTTTAATCTTTCAGAATTTATGCTATGATTAAATTAAAATATTAATGAACTTGATTATTCTTATCTAAGGAGGAGTAATGGTCAATTATGGCAAGGGTGTATCATAAAACTCATAAAAAAGCTACTATATGATGATTAGCATAGTTCTCACAATATGTATTAACATCTTAATTGGTCAAATCAAAAAGTAAATGAAGTACAAAGTTTAAAATCATCACAACTTATTCCAACATTAAAGACCAATACTTCCCACAACTTCCATCCAATACTTAATTACTTATCATTTTAAGAAAAAAACAAATAAGGAAAACAACTCATGGAGAAAACAAAACCACACTTAAGTTTAAAAGTAGAAATTATACAAACACACAAGAAAACTAAATTAAAACCAAGTGTAGTCACAGATAAAAATTTTTCTCAAATTCCTCTCCATCAAACTCTTAAAGTTTCTTTGAATCTCTTCTTTTCTTTTCTCTTACAATACTCTCTACTAACACACTAAACTCCTTCCTCTCTTCTCTCTAAATTATCCTAATTAATCTATGAGAGAGGGGCGTCAGCGGCTAATTGTGTCTCTCTTGGGGGCCCGACTTCAACTCTATCGAAACCCTCTTTTATAATTTTTCAAAAGGTGTTTTGGTGTCTCTTCAAAATGTGTCCACATTCAATGAATCTTTCAAGAGTTTCCTCCTTTCGAAGGCTATTTAAATGCATTTTTGTGTCTATTAACCATAACCCTTGTTTTCACCAAGAGTTGCTTAAAAACCCCTTTAAAATTTTGTCTAAATTCATTGAATCATCAAGTAACTACCTCTAGTGCTTAAGCTCGAGGTATGTGGCGCTTAGGCATGACTTTCTTTGTTATCCTGACGCTTAAGTGTCAGTCATGGGCACTTAGGCGCCACAGTTCTTCTAAACACCTTCATTTTTGCTCTAAATTTGATCATTTTTCACTCCTTTCACCATTGTTCATTCATTTTACTGTACTTGAAAGAAAAACACACAAATATCTTTATATTTTTCATTAAAGCGCAATGTCCTTAAAAATATGTATAAAAATATGTACATAAATGTTATATATTTTAGGTGCATTAAAATCTCCCAAACTTAAAATATTATTTTACCTCAAGTGACACTCCAATCTTTCTAAACCAAAACAAATAGATTATGTAAATGAGTTTCTTTAGGATTTTCAAAAGTTTTTATTTAGAAATATAGTAGTCCAATTTAGAAAAAATATTAGTAAATGAGACTAACTTAGAGTTTAGAATTCGTTAATGTAAAGAAGTCTGAAAATATGAGTTTCTATCTAGTTCAGAAATACTTATAACTTCTCCAAATATAGAGTTTAGACATTCTATCTTCTTCACTTAAAATTTTTATTAAAAATAATTATACTTACTATATTATATCCTTAAGCTTAAGACAAATCTTATACTTTAAAAAGATCATATGTGGAATCAATTTTTGATTAGGCAATAATCCTAAAGCTTCTCCTCCCTATTTCAACTTTTATTTTATTTTTTCTTTTTCTTTTTCTGGTGAGGATTACTATTTCTGGATAGTCATTTAATGGTTTTGAATCCCACTCTTCCTTTCCTAAAATAAAGGTTTGAATATATCCTTTACTTAAAAATATAATAATAATTTTGAAAATTATTTTTAATAAAAAAAATTTAAGTATTGAAAATAAAAGTCTAATCCTTCTACATTTTTCAAAAATACAACTTCTCCTACTATAGATAGTTACACAATATTTATTATTTCTACACTAAACATTTTTAACTTTATTTTTTTCTTCATTACTGTAGGTTTCAACTAAATTTTCTTACTCATTTCTATATTCAAAATTTTACTTCCCCAATATAACTTCATATACATAATCATTATTTTCAAATCAACATAGAATTTATTTGTAGAACATTTGAGAATAAGTAAAATTCAAGTTTTGAATATTATTTTTCATCCCATCAAACTTAATTTTTTTAATAAGGTAAAACATTTTAGCATCATATTTATATAGAGACATGAATGAAAACTAAGAATAACATGCTTACAAGAATTTTCATACCCTAAATAATACAAGTACAAAAATTAGAAATAAGAGTAATAATTAATTGATCAAATTTTTACTTAACTTTATCATATATGAGATTCATTAGAATTCTATGTAGTGGAGGATAATATAAAAGCAAATAAACACGCTAACATAAGTTCACAACTGTAACAAAAAAAATACACGGTAGTAACTTGAAATTTAGACATCAAGTTCTTTAAGTGAAAGTTAGTTATATTTATTTAGCATACACTCAATTACTTTAGATTTGAATTTTGTATTTAAGTTTTGTAGTTCTTTAAATTGAGATTTATGTTATATGTTTTACATTATAATTATCAGAATTTCCAACTTCTTTGTGCGATCGATGCTTAGAAATTCATTAGAGCTCTTTATTACTTGAGCGATACATATACTTGTGTTATTATTACGGGTTTGACAGTTTAAAGATTTTAAAAGATAAAATTATTTTTATTAAAATTATTTTTATTGGGATTGAATTGCATATTTATTATTAGTAATACGTGGGTGTTTTGTAATATTCAAAAATATTTAGAAAAACAACACACAATAAAACACTCCCGCATCAGTAGGAAAGGACTCAAAGAGGGGGGAAAGCCCCCATAAAGAGTCTTAGCATAATGGAATCAGATAGGTGTGGTGGATTCTATACCATAGTTGCATTCTCATTGATTTAAACAAGGATTAGTTCCCAGTGTCTCCTGAGGTGGAGCATATTTCTGTGCAACTCGCCGAAGTGATGTGGTTCGATGAGTTTGTGAAGAAATTAAAGCAACTTGATCATCATGAGCTTGAGAAAATTTGATGGTGAGAGAGGCTACTCATGTACAATCCACTGCTCTCTCTTGGTCCAAGTGTGTTTGGATGAAGGAAGGGAAAAATTTGAGATGCTGAGTGCTCAATTTAAGGAAGTCAGGGAAAGACTGCAGGCGACCGAAGACAAAAATCATTAAAGTAAATGGATACAGATTGAAATCTTACATTTGTGGAATTAAACCTTTATAAGATGAAGTCCTGATGTTGGGTCACCTATAGTAAAACATTGGATACGTCGGGCTGATGATGTTAAACCAATCCCTTTGTTGGAGGCAGCTCATAGTTATCTGTGTGGATTAATTGTTGTTGTCATACATACCATATGATGTCGTATTGAGACCTACAAAATGTAAGGAGGTGCAAAACACTAATTATATGAATAAGAAGTCCTGATGTTGGGTCGCTTAATGTAAAACATTGGATACGTCGGGCTGATGATGTTAAACCAATCGCTTTGTTGGAGGCTACTCATAGTTATCTGTGTGGATTAATTGTTATTGTCATACATACCATATGATGTAGTATTGAGACCTAAAAAATGTACGGAGGTGCAAAACACTAATTATATGAATAATAAAAGATTGGAACGAGAAAATTGGATGCAAGGCGAACATGTGTACAATTGGGCACTGGCGCCTAAGCGCTAGTTTTGCATATGGTATGGTGCCAAAGCGCTAGAATCTAGTGCCTAGGTGTCACAATTAGAAAATGAGCTAAAACTGCCCCTAGGTAGTTTGAAACCACTTTTTTCCTTTAAAACCATCATAATCTTGCTTATGGGACTTGGAACTTCATAATCTAGGCATGAGAAATCACATTTAGAGAAGGAAGTTGGTGCTAGATTCATTTTTCTCATGTCAATGGAGAGTAAAAAGCAATGATTGGGATGATGCAAAGAAGTTCATGCACAAGGACACCCAAACATACTTCAATGGGTTCCTTGCGCATAACCTGAAAGGAATTACAAAAGAAACTCATGAAGAGAGAAAAGGAGATTGTGTATATGCATTCCAAATTGGATGACTTCTATTACCAATTCAAATATTTGGATTGGTAGCTCAAACTTCAGTATAATCATTTGTCATGTTTTCAGGAGGAACAAGTAAGGATGTATCTGGATAAAAAATAGATTGGAGAGAGGCTGTGGAAAAATTTCCTCACACTTTGTTTTACAACCTGTTTGTGCATAATCCGAGGAATGAATAGGTAGATGACAACAATGTTCATAATTATTAATAGTCAGAAGTTAGAGTGAGAAAAATATGATGTTTAGGTGTTGTAACGACTTTTCTCTATAGGTGTATTTCATTCTGCATGATTGATGTTGATGTTATGTCCATTGTATCAAGTTTTCGTTAAGAATTTTTGTGTCCATTATATTGAAACTTTGTTTGTATGAATAAAATTGTACTTAGTTTGTGAAGTTATTTATTTTGTTAGTAAGTTTAGATCATTTGAATTATTTCACTTTGGAAATTAAACTTGTGCAAATGGAAGGTTAAAGATATTAAAAAGACGATTAATGAATATAATGATGTTAAATCAATGTAATTAGGGTTTGGAGATCTTAGGTTTGTTGTGCTTACACCTAAAAAAATTTAAAAAATATATTTGCAAAAATTGGGTCCGATGCCAAAGTGATAGTTTATTACGGAACAGGGTGCCTAAGCGCTGGAGCTAGCGCCCAACCGCCGGACTGAATTACTGGTTCAGTCAAAAAATTGGCTTATCAAACTAGCTTAACACCATTTTTATCACCGAAGTTGAATCTTATTCCTCCCATTCACAAGATAGACCTCTTAGGGCTTCTCCTTGCTTGCAAAATTGGGAGTTTTGGAACTTATAAACTTTGGATTTCTTCTTCTCTAGGTAAGATCTATACTTTGGCTTA